TCGCTTCTGGCATTGGATAAGGTCAGCTATAGCGCCAGCACACATAAACACAATTAATAGCTGCTACTCTTGACATTAAAAGGAATTTACATATTAATTCAGCAGAAAAAAAACAATACTGGTTTAGCTACTTCTATTAACGTAACCTATTAAAATATTTAAAGATGTTTTTGATGGGATTGACACAATTAATTTTATTTGAAGTTATAGCACCATTTTTAATAAAACAATAGAAAAAACTATGCTATATCTCAAAGAAATTCCCCAGCTGTATTAGTATGTAAAATATTTTTGTTGACAATGCTATTTAAAAAAATAAAAAAAACTCTAAATACACAGTCCAAGGGTAGATATCCGGTACGTGGTTCCGCATTTGCCCAAGTGTCAAATGATCTCCCCGTGAGTGTACGTTTGTGATTCGCCGAATCAACTTTAATTCTTCTGTAAGAGAGGACAATTCACGCATGCCATGACGACAGGCTGGTGTTCGGATAAAGTATAAAGCAGTAAGTATGTGGTGTACCATGTGTTCTTACGATCAATGAACTACAAATTTCTTCAGTTGAATTTTTTATATTTGTTAATTTGGGTGATATAATTAACCTTGCTAAGTATAAACCATGACTAATATAATAACAAAGCATGGCGCATGATCATTAGGTAAATATAATTCTCGTCAGTAAAAAAAGGGCATAAAAAGAAGTTCGTATATATATATATATATAAGAAAAAAAAACATAAAATGGTCACTGAAAATATTTTTCTATATATTTTTTTATCAAAAATAAATAAATATACATCAGATAAAAAATATACAAGATGAGAAAACTAAGTTCACATATAATATTAAAAAATACTTTTTTTGGGAGTAAAAAGACTTTGTATACTATTCTGATTTCCGACTAGTGGATACAACAACCAACAACATGTACAAATAAATTAATTGTGTTTAAGTAATGAATAAAAATCACATTTAATTATTAAAATCTTCTTTTTTCTGTGGAGAAGGAATGTTTGGTGAAGGGTTCTATCTCTCAACATCAAACTCCATCTTGATTGCGCAAACAGAAAGACCTCAATCATTGCCCACGCGCGGGTATGGCAGAAAACGTGGCCGCACGATGCTCAATGATTTTCCAAGGGAAATGATAGCATTCTAGGCACTACCAGTGAGGGAAGGATTAAAAAAAAAAAAAAAGGAGGAAAAAAAGAGTCACAATCTTTGACCAGTGTCTCTAGCCTTTGTGTGCACGGTCTTTCTCTCCAATTCATTTGGCAGCAGCCAAGTGGATCTTGGAGGGCCTCTCTAAATCATGGTGTTCCTCGGAATAACACTCCTCGTCCTGCTCCTGGCTTAACGCAGGGCCATGCTGACATGACAAAGCTAAACATCTTAAGAACACTCAGTTATTGTAATGGTTGGGTCATTAAAGCACTCGAAATGGATCGTTCACTCTCGTAGTAGTACCTTAACTTTAGCTAGTTCATGAGATAAAAAATAGTATAAATGAAGCAAAAGGTATGTGCAGAGTTGACCCAAATACTTTAGGGTTGATGTTTATTGCTGTGTAATGCTTAAATGGGACTCAAACTCAAGCCCTTTCTCTCTTGATTTGCAAGATTAAACAATGTCAAACCTTTATGAATTGTGTGGTAAATTAATTAATGACCAAAGGGATTGCAGGGAGTCATCGCATCTGTCACAGCTGTTCCATCTAGACCAGACGTTGCCTGTGTACTCTAGCAGATCTCGGCATGTATATACCACATGTGGTTTTAGATTGAACAGTCAGGACATGCACGTAACGGCTGCTTGCGCCAGTCAAGTGGCCACAGGCGGTGGAAGAACCTCCCTATAAGGCATAAGCTCATGTCGCGGTGATACAAGCAGCAAGTGAAACACATCAATGGCTGAACGACATTTTCTTGAGAGGTTCTATAATAATAGAAGCAACGTCCATCCTGGCTTGAGAATCACGTGTTGCTTGCTACCTTACCTTCTACTGGTCCAAAATGGTAGCTTTTCCTTTAGCAACTCGCAACGACCCAGGAAACACAGGCCTACAAAATGCGGCAGGCAAGAGAAGTCAAACAAGGGCAGCCCTGCCCAATGGCAAGCAAATACTCTAGGGTGGCCTTCCAGGACAGTGAACGGTTTACAGAGAGATAAAATACTCTGACGTCTCACTTTCCAGTGTACTAAAAGCTTTCCTGAACGTCGAAAGCGAAACATCTAAAGTTTTAACTTTGAACATAAAAGAACGGAACAAATCTAGCCAATTTTATTTGGCTGTGAAAAAACCTAGTAGGGCTCCCTTTCCTTTCGGCTTTCGGCCGTGTCGCATCAAGACAGCAATCACCCACCGACAAATGGTAGTTTAATGCGAAGCTGATATTTTCTTGCATCCAGGATTCTGCCAAGACAGAACCATGCATGCAAATCTTCACTTGTATTTGTGTGATTCACATGGATGGCTAGAATCCATCATGCATTGCATCACACAGCATCACTTGCCCTTAGCACACGGCCACTGGATCAATTGATATTATGCCTAATCAATAATATTTTAGCACAGGAATTAAAGGCTTCATGATGGCACAAGGACAAATGTGAACCTTAAAAAATATTTAAATTTTCCAATTATTTGAACTTAGTGGAAGAGTATTGATTGATTGGCCGAGAATATAGGCCTTTTAGGCAAAAGTGAGAATATATTGCCTTGTCTTATCAGCAAATAAAAGCGAAGCTAGGCTAGCGATTTTGCGGCAAATAAACCTAATTTGGATTGAAAAGATGACTCATAGGAGAGTTTTTTCCTGTTCTCTGGATAGATCTCCAATCAACATCTCAAAACTGATAAGAGACTTGATAAAAGATAGAGAGACCCAGGGATTATATAAGATCAGCAGCATGTTTCCCGCAAAATCTTTCATCACCTTTTTCCTGGATTTGGGATTTTATTGGTACGCGAATCTTGGATGCAAGTGTCAAAGAGGAAGGTTTAATGATATACGTGTCCTACAAATAATTCCTGTGGACGTGCGTGGTTCATAGAAGCAGACTGATCCACGATTTTTGGAAAATCTAGACATCAAAACAAAACCCTAGCATGGTCACATTATTGCGCAAGCACAACTCCCTCACTTCCAACCAAATCATGGCCATCATTACCTGCCAAGCACACCTTAATCACTTCTCACCGACTGCAACATTACATTATCTCATAGCGGGGTGAAAAGGAAAGAAAAATCATCCATGTAATCTATAGTGGAAGAAACTGCGGTTCATGCAAACAGCATGTTTCACAAAGGTACTTTCTGGTTCCACTAACATCAACTTTTTGACAAACAGAACAGATCCCATGCGCCATTAGTATGCAGCAATGAAAGCTGACGAATCCTATCATAATGAGCCACTAGCATGCATCATATATTTATACCATTGACGACTACAATATCCTGCATTCAAAAGGTAACTCCTCGCTACTTTTTATCCAAAAATGTGAGACCTCACCTACTCAGTTGACAAGTAGAAGCACAAAACCTGCCAGTTATCCAATCAGGATTGTCACATGGTAACTCGAAGTTAAGGCGGAGAGCTAATAGCTAAAAATTCAGAGAGAGCAACTAGTGATGATCCACACTCCACGCTGTCTATTAAGCAACCTATGGTTAGAAAAATGAAGAATAGACCCGATGAATCATTGATAGACATTATTGTGATTCAACTAAAAGCACCATACGGGAAAAAAAATCAGAAAATTGAAGTGGTGTGATGAAACAATCATTTATGGACATTGATCATATTCCTATGCAGGCCAAGAGAAGAAGGTCCCCTGCATTCCTTCGCATGTCGGGGCCATATACTCATTAATTAAGAGTAATCATGTCGCCTGTATGCAGCCCATCAACATCACCATTTCATGTTATTCTCCTACTTTCCTCTTCCCTAGCTCATGACAACTGGTATCCTGAGTCATATTTGAGGAAACTGACCAGAATGGTCCCCTGGGGGACCATGAGAGCATTGGTTTGAAGACCACGAAAACTATACAGGCAGAGACACACCTACTTTATTCTTTCAATGCCAATAATGCTTCTTATATTCCATCTAGTTTTTGTTCAATTGATTTATACAATATCATGTGACAGGATTGAATTGAGACAGTGGTTAATGATCTAAGCACAAAAAACGTAGCATAATTAATGAATACAATATCATGTGACAGGATTGAATTGAGACAGTGGTTAATGGTCTAAGCACAAGAAATGTAGCATAATTAATAAAACCAGCTCAAACAGTGAACATGGCTTTGAAGCAAAAGTATCGACGAGAGCAAAAGGAGTTAATATTTATACAATATCATGTGACAGGGTTGCTGAGACAGTGGTTAATGGTCTAAGCACAAAAAATGTAGCATAATTAATACAACCGATTCAAACAGTAAACAAGGCTTTGAAGCAAAAGTATCGACAGCATTTAAGCCCTGATACTTAGTAAACAATTCAAATTTTTTTGGCACAGTAAAAGCAAATGAAAACAATCAAAGTACCCAATATTTCACCTGTTCTTTAGAAATCAAAAAAGAAAGTACCAAAGTTAATATGTTCCTTTGCACTTGCATTTGATAACAACATAAAACTTTTCAAACTGAATGGTTTCATATTTACTAGCATGGTCTAGACATTATCTTCCAAATTATAGAAAAAAAGTAATACCACGAGCTGTATTCTACAAATTATCCTTATACATATGAATACTCAAAAGTCCCATGAATATACACGAAGGACTCTACTCTCACTGCTTTAACACCTTAAGTTGGGCCTCTAACATTGCACCAAGTATTCCTCAAGTGGCATACTAGAAAAGAAAGGGCTTTTGGGGTAGGCGGAGGTTCTGTCATATGGGAAGGGAACAGCAAGAACACCAAAAATCCAACATGAAGGATGCGAAAACAGCATCAAGAAGTCGCTTCACAAGATGAATTCTACCTATTATGTTTTTTTTTTATTGGATCCCATCCTGAGGTTGCAGGTAACATCTGCCAGAGGTTTTTGGACAAATAAACCGCACTAAAACCTCCAATAAAATGGACAGAACTGAAACAAGCTCTTGTCTGTAACAATATGAACCCAGATTAAATTGGTATTAATCAGTTCAAAGTTCTATTTCCTTCCTAATCCAACAATTCCCTCCTTTTACAATCCATTGACTCAAAAGCAATAAAAAACTTTTGAGTATCATCAACCATTCTTTTAACAATTTCCCTGCAGATGCTAAAGTTTCCAGATTCTTATATTAATCTACCAGTTTCATTCCACAGTCTTGACATAAAAACCAATATAAAAAAAAAGTGATAATCATCTCGAGAGGAGGAGAGTACATGATAGAGAAAATAGGAGGGAAAGACAATTAATAGTGGTCCTATTTGGCTGTTGAGACCTGCCACAATCTTGAAATGAGCATGAGAAGTGGGGGAGGGGATTCATGGACAAGTAACATGAGTTGTCGCATAAGATGTCCACAACAGGTATCCAGTGTGCCAAACTCATTATCATAAGGTTCAATCTGATATCAATTAAACACATGGCGTTAATTTAAGATAAAGGTAGGATTGCCCAATATGCCTACCCAAGAACCGACACAAGCTTAGAAAATACCAATCCAGACCCAAACTGAAGAACCAAGTTGCGGTCAGTCCAATTCAGATCAGTTTGGGTCCCAGCACCAACTTGCACCCATAGCTACAAGTACCCAATGCCAGTTCCTCCCTCCAGTTCATTTGAAAGGCTAGGACTTTGGCTTAAATAATAAAGCCAGGAACAGCCTTGGAGTATTCTAGATTCAAGCTTAATGACAATCTTGTAACGAGCAAGAGAGAGAGTGAGAGAGAGAGAGAGAGAGACAGTCTATTATAACTTTTTCTATTTCATGTAAATAGCTTATTACAACACAGTAATCTTGACAGCATGCTGTGATAGTTTTTTCGAACAGGACTAAGTTTACAATGTAAGTACTCAAAAGATTAACAGGCAACTGCTCCTAAACTTTGCTCAGATGTATAGAGTTTCACATTCTTTAAAAAAAAAGTGTTATGAAAAATCTCATAGCTTCTGTGTATGGTTATGAAGGATAAACAAAAGGACAGGGCACAGGACAAATCCAGGCTGACCAAGATCAGTGCTCTGACTTTTATAATTTTTTCCAATAAGCCACAGAATCAAATGTGAACGATAAGTTCCAATTACAAAGCTCTATGGTTGAAATGCTTCAATGCCACAGCATGTTCACATGGACAAAGGCAATAACAATCTTCTCTCCCTATTCTGGGCCCTTGAACTTCTCAGATGTACGGGAAGAAAAATTGCAAGACATATTATGAGAAACACAAGCCAGAAATGTCGGAAATAAAGTGCCTTCTAAGATGATATGACAAGCATGCTTAATGTTAAGGCCCAAAGGATTGCTACAGTGACATCAGCCCTGCATGAACTTAAGGTTAGATTTTACACTTAATGTCAGCAACACACAGTGATATCTAATACACTTAGCAGCTAAAAGGAAACCAATAAGGTTGCAATCATAAGTTGTGATGACATATATAATTACAGAAAGTTCCTAAAAATTTTAAGTCCTCCGAATTAGCAGCAGATACTTGAATGAAGGAGGCTGTAACAAATCAAAAAACATATTTACCCTGAAGAAGAATCCGGTTGCCTCTTACGCAGCCAATGATTATCAGGGTTTGTTTCATTTTAATTCTGTTTGGGCTGGAGTTGCATGGCTCAACAATTTTTTATCACAGCATGTAACTGGAAAAACTTTTGCCTAGTATTTATCTAGTGGCTTGCCCCAAAGCCCTGAAACATGGAAAAAAAAAAAAACTTTAGGGATCATCTAAATTGATGGGATGTGGTCATGGAAAGAAATAATAAATATGGAAACTTGCGAGATAGAAGACAATAAAACATATGGACTTCTGTCTTAATTACAAAAGAGTAAAGGAAATAACCAACTTCTTGTAATGAAGACTACTCTTCCTTTCCAAGAAACAACACGCGCAAGCATCACACAGAAACTCTGAGACCAAGTAGTATCAGCCATGCTTTCATTCTTTAAAGAATAGCATAAAGTCTTGTTCATTTTGAACAACTGTTTGATAACAAAAAATAGACAAGCAGAAAGCATCATACTACGAAAATGTATCATAACTAATTTCATACAATTTTCCTCCCTATGATATCTTCTGTGTGATCTTTGAATCTTTACAGCATGGAGCACGACAATTTCAACTTTTGAAGAGAAGTCAAAAGAATGAAAACTAACAACTTTGGTATCAAGAACACGATTCACTAATTCCATGATTTAGTAACTAAATCAAATACCATTTTTTATATAAAAGATTCAGGTCTATTTGGATAGAACACAGCCTTCGCTCTCCACAAAATCAAAAGAAAAACTAAAAGCTGCTTCAATTAAAGTTGATGACTTCTCAATTGTCGATTACAACTACATATTGCGAAAGCTTAAAATACAATTATTTTAAAATGCTCGGTCTCGATATATATAACCCTGAAAAAGGGTTTTGCACACTTGACATACAATGTCTACAGTCTAAACCATTATCAAAGCCTGTTCAGGTCTGTACTTCTCGACGAAATTGTTTCAAAACTAAAACTTGTCTCTATATTCAACTAATACACAGTGTAAATAAATTTCCAAAATTCTCTGTTTCACAATAATAGCAATACTAACTCTGAGAAACTACAAAGACTACAGTTTCCAATCATTATTCTCCAAATGACAAATAATCATAATTTACAAATCATAACTACTATTCTACTTAAAAAAAAACTTGGGCATTAAAAATTAATCAAAAATATAAAAAGCTTAGACAATAATCATAAATATTTGGAAAAAAAAGGGAATAAAGAGAGTAAATACCAGGAAGAGATGGGGGTTTAGGAGAAAAGATGGTGAGAGAAGAACGCTTGTGTTGAGATCGGATCTGGCACTCCCTCCCTCTCTCAGTCGCTCCACCAGTTTCGACCTTGTTATCATTTCTTTTCTTGTTCATCAAAGATTTTCGAGCTGCCAATTCAATTTCTGTTTCTTGTTTCGCTTAGCTGCTTTGTCAATCTTATAGTTCGAGTAAATTATAACTTAGTCACTATATTTTTAAGCAATAAATAAATCAGTTCCTCTAGTTCAAGCAGCCCCATATTTATTTTTTATATTTTCATACCCATTTATAATTTAGCCCTCTCACACACTGCACGTTTTGCTTGATTGTCCTTGGACTTGAGCTCTTTTTGGCTCCGTTCTAGGTTCTGAAAGAGTCCAAAGAGTTTTTTCATTGGAGTTGGGGTGAGCGGCTGAAGAGGAAAGTGTTTTTATCCTCTTATATTCTGTATCATATTCGGTGATTTATTTGTATTCGATGGACGAAGAGATGACTAAGGATGAAATTATGTCAAACTTTTCACAACAGTATCTATCATCTCCTTAACACCATCCCATAGAGTACCTCAAAATTTAAATTTCAATAAATTTTCATGAAAAGAACAAGTTTAATAACACCAATTTCAACTTTAAAATATTTATAAATCAGTTCAAAAACTCAAAATTAAATCTAATCAAAACAAAATTTAAGGATTTCAATTATGAATAACAATTTAATACTAACCCGATGAATATCAATCCTACATGAATGAATATGTATTTTTTTAATTATTATGTTACTCAAAAATAATTAATAAGATATTGATATTATCAAACCCTATGTAAAACTTGTCAAAAACCTAACCTAAAATATATATTTATATTATATAGATGTATTTGTAGAATATTTTTATTATTTTAATTCAAACACACATATATATAGTATATAAGTATAATATTTATCATTTTATCATTTAATCTACATATACATATTTCAAATATATATTAACTATTTTATTTTTTATTGAATAATAAATAATAATAGATATTTGTATTGATACCAAAACTTGATGAATAGTTTATAAATATTAAAATTTTTTATCTTAAATAATATATGAATATCAAGAAATCTGATTTGTGAATATTCATTTTCATCTAATTTCAATCTAGTTTTTTAAGCATGGTGAATGAAGAAAATCACACCAAGATCGGCCTTCTTTTATGACTGGATTCCATTCTTCCAAAAAATTGGTCTCTCATCTTCCAATATTTCGGGATTGAAATACAATAAAAATGAAGTTTTGTACCCTTAATGCAAACACCTAAAATTAGAGGGATCTGAAGAAAAAAGCAAATCTAAGGGGACAATGTTTCTGCGCAACGCACTGTGGATGAACATTCAGCACACCATGTATGGGTGTACAATGTTTCTGCACATGAAAAATCCGTTTTAGTTTTTTCTTATGATTGTAATTGTAATTATTTGGGACATATGGCTGATCGAAATTTGAAGCCCAGTTTGGAGCCAGCAATTGTTTATTCGTGTCGGTTAAAACTCCCGCGTGTCTATGCATGTTATTTAGAAAGAGGACGCATTCTTTTTTTTTTTTAGATTATCGTGGGTGTCCGGTCTAGTTGCGCGCACCACGATCAATACTAAGAAAGAGGACGCATTCTTTTTTTTTTTTTTAGATTATTGTGGGTGTCTGGACTAGTAGAGGGAGCAAACCTCTTAATCCCAAATCCTTACCACTTGGCTAACGCATTCTTTATTCTCTGCTGGCAAGAGAGAGGAGAATCAAGAGGAGAAAAGACAGAGAGATATGACAACGAGAGACAGGAATCTTGAGCGTTTGAAACCCATTCAAGATCCTGATAAAAATATTAAGAATATCATTACCAAAGGAGGAGGCTCTAAGTCTTCCTCTGAATCTGCTTCTAAGACACTGTCTAAGAAAGAAATGGCATTGAATTTTCCCAGGCTACGTAAATGACAGTGTCTTAGAGTTTTGCCGAGTGCATAGAATTCTCAGCACTTGCATCTGTATTCTCTTTCTCGCAGTCCTCACCGGTTGTGTGGAAATTTTCTTCACTGTCTCGAGCGATACAAGACATTATAAATCAATAATATGGCGGGAAGGAGTTTGTCTTCCATTCTGCTAATTATGTAACTATCTGGAATATATATGGTTACTTTCTTGGTCTTCCATCACGAACTTATCTCGTCTAGTCCCCTGCATTCTTGCTTGAGTGCCAGTCTTTGCAAATTAAGTCGTGAATTCAAACTCAATGATTGCAGTACTGGCGAGTCATGAAATATTTGCACGATTCAAGGTTTCCATGCTAAGTCAAATGTCATATCCATGGACTATCTCTGTGCATACATGTCATACTGTAAGCCTTCAACTACAATCAAGAACTGTAGATATTAACGCTTCACATTATCACATGGTTCCGCGTATCCTTTGGAGGTTTCTTGAAACAGTTCATTAATTTTTTATTTCCTTGGTGCATGACAATAATTTGCTTTGCTTTTGCAGTGCCATCCTGCTTCTTGTAGCCATCACAGTCCGCATCACTTGGTGGTTTATTAGTCTTGTGGATGGGTTCTTCTCTCCGATCTATGCTCCTTTTGGAGCCAATATATTTGGTTGGTGTCAACATGCCTTCACTCTATTGCACAGTTTGCTTGCTTCTATCTTTCTGTTCTCTTAGATACCTGCATTTTTTAACATCTATTTAATGTTGAAGGCACAATCTGGACATAGTGGATGCTCTTTATATAAAGGGGGCAATGCAATTTTCTCAAAACAATCAGTTGGAAGTAAAATGCCACCCCAGCTACTGGCAGTGGGATCATCTGTTTAGTCTAGCAACAGAATGGCCCAGCTGCTAAAATACTTGGTGTCATTTCTGCCATGCAGAACCATAGCATCTGTTGAATAGATTTGAGGGATATTCAATTTGAGCGATTAGATTCAACTGTGCTCAGCAATAATTCTGTCATGGCTACTAGAGCATATTACGTTTACTTAAACGAGTGAAATTATTGTGTTTTTTGTGATTCTTGTTGAGGATAGTAATAAAGTAAAACCAGTCTGGTTTTACCTGTGTCCAAGCTGGCTAGAAATTCTAACTGTTGACATGGTACTATAGCAATTTAACATGGGCTGTGAAAGTAACATGGTATATATGCCTTCTCTGTTCTGAAAAATACTTCTTTCTGACTAATTTGTGGGCCTTGGATTTGTGACCTACATCTCTTTCATCTTCCTGACTAGTGTGTTCATGCCCCCATGGTTGGAAGCTTCTGTCCTTGGCTAGGGAGAATGGTTTATCAGGACAATGCCTTTCGCTAGCTATATTTGATCTGCTTCTGAATGAATTACTCCAGCAATATCCCCAGGTTTGGATAATCAACTCCCTTTCTAATATTAGGTTTCTCAAACATGGAGTTTAAAGAGAAATCTGGATTTTAGTTCAGAGCTCCAATGCCTTAAAGGAAGTGGGCATCATCAAGCATCCACACCATGGCCATCACAAGTTTGACGAATGTATTTTATTAATTGAGAATTAAATTTTATAATTTATTTTGTTTTGTTTTTTATAAAGTTGTTTTAGTTTTATGATCCTAATCATAAATTTAAAAAAATAACATGGGTTGGGTTGAATTGGGTTATTATTTTAGTTTTTTTAAATTGATTTTTTATTATATTTCATCCTTTAATGTTGAGTTAAATAAAAATTATATTTTATGATTTTTTTAAATTTTTTTCTACAAGATTATTTCAATTTTATGACCTAGATAGTAGGTTTGATAGGTTAACTTGGGTTGAATTTGATCATTTTTTATTTATTTTTTATTAAATTATCTCAGTCTTATGACTCAAGTTATAAGTTTAATAGTTAATTTTAATTTTAATTTCATCATTTAATTGTGAGTTGAATGAAACTTTGGTTTCATAATTTATTTCAGTTTGTTTTCTATTTTGTTATCCTGATCTCATGAGTTAGGTCATGGTGTTTGACAAGATAATTTATGTTTATTTGAATATTTTTAAATTAATTGAATTTTTTAAGTATATCCTTTAACATTAAACTGATTAAAAATTAAGTTTTATAATTTATTTTAATTTATTTTTTATAAAATTATTATTTTCTCATGACCATGGCTGTAAAATTGACATATTATCCTAAGTTGACTCGAGTTAACCCTTTAAATATTATTCTCAATTCATGAGACTGAAATAACATAATAGAAAATAAATAAGATAAATCATAAAATATAATTTTCAATCAATCCAATATTAAAAGCTAAAATTAAAAATAAATAAATAAATATAAGTCAATTAGATTAACCCGCTAAATCAAGTTAATTTGTTTAATTCATAAATTTTATTGATAGAATATGAGAACTTAATAAAAAAAATTCATATCATAAAAAAATTTTGGTTCGAAAAAAAAAACTATTGTGCCTTTTTTATTGTATAGTTAATTATAAATGGGTGACAGGCAACATGACGTTAGCTACCAGAATTTAGCTTATCATTTAATAGCTAGATTATTAATATTAATGAAAAGAGGCAAATGTAAGTTAACCTTCCGTTGTCGTCCAGCGGTTAGGATATCTGGCTTTCACCCAGGAGACCCGGGTTCGATTCCCGGCAACGGAAGTCTTTTTTTGTTACTTCTGTAGTGGTTCCTTTGACTGACCCCGTTTGGTTGGATAAATGTTGCTATCTGGAGGAAAAGTCCTAGAACAATCTCAAATTCGATTCACCAAAGAGGCAACGGTCCAGCCGAAGCTCAAAATCAGCATTTTTGAGTGAAATCTTTCCTTGAGGAATTTCGTTACTAATTACGGCACCTAAAATGGCCTTCTGAAAATTGTAGTTGGCATCATCCAGCAGCTGGGCCCTCTCATGGCTGATTCGTTCTCAAATGTTCAGTTCATGAAATTAGAAACAAGAGATCAAATTATGCCATTGCTATTTGCAGCATTCATATGCCTTTTACAGTTAATTTTGCGATTTGCAAGTTCACGTTGCATCCTACATAATCACCATTCATATAAAGACCGAGGATGACATAATTAGACAGATGCATCACTTGTTTTGAACTTCTGAAAACGAATCAGATGACGAGGAGAATACATCTGTCTGATAATGAGACATTACAAGAAATAGCCTCTTTCCAAGTGTTCACAAAATGAAAGAGACCCATCCGCGAGCAACATGCTGCTCAAAGATCGTACGGGCAAATTCCAAGTCACCCCACAAAAAGCAAGACGTCCAGATATCATGGGCACGTCTGCACCGCATCCTACAAAGCAAACCGCTAGCTGTAAAGGGTAGAGAGCATGCCTCCATTTGCATTTGGTATTACCACCTCCCAACCAGGCCCTTTCAGGGGAAATGAACCAGTAGCAGCAATACTTTCTGTGTCATCATCTGATGAGCCTACAACCAGATCACTGCGATCCAAGACCCTCTCTAAATCTTCATCGCTGATATCTGTCTGTATCAGCTTGTCTTCTGCAGTTTCTTCATCTCGAAGTAGTGCCAGTATATCCTCTTCCTGAAAGTACAAAAGAAATGAAACAAGCTCCTAGTCATAATTGAGTCACATCCAGCATTAGCTAACCACAGGTGTTCAGTCAACAATAAATCAAAATTTGCACTTTAGCATCACACAGAATGTTCAGTTTTTTAACATGCTGCAGCGGGTCAATGTATTAACAGCCATCTAGGTATTGCCAAAAGTCATTGTCTCACCATTTAACACCAGATTAAAAGGATGTTCAAAAGGAGAGAAATAAATGAGGTGCAAAAAATCAGATCTTTCCAAACTCCAGCTGAGGTGCAAGCCCCTGCTGAATTGACAACGAGCCAAGAAAGAAAGATGCCATTGCTACCTGTAAAGGCTAAGTGATAGTAGGTGAAATAAACAAAGATTTAAAAACCTCCATAACTTCGGTGCCCTTAGACTTGGTTTGCTCAAGATGAAACTGCCCTTTCCCAATGACCACGTGCTCAAGCTTCAACTTACTAAAAGCCCTTTTCAAAATACGACCCTGTAAGCATACGATTTGTCAATGATCTAACAACCAAACAAAGCATTAAATGACAACAGAGATCAATATTGAGATACCTCGATTGACTGAGCCGTTGCGAGCCTGTAAACATGAACAGGCTTGGTTTGCCCAATTCGGTGACATCTATCCATGGCTTGGAGATCCATTTGAGGGTTCTGAAATACAGAAGTATATCGATGAAATAGCATGAAACATCATGAGTTTTAGTAGATTGAGGGTGGAAGATGGAACACAAGATCAAGAAAATACCCAATCACTGTCATACAGTATACAGGTATCAGCTGAAGTGAGGTTTATACCCAGTCCACCAGCTCTTGTGCTGAGAAGAAATACCCTATACTGGCTGTTCTCATCATTGAATTCCTCGATCTGTTCAACATAAAACAAAGGCTTGTCAAGACTAGAATAATAACACACTTTATTCCTCGGATACATAGACTGGAAAAGAAACAAAGTGACAACAAAATCAGCCGAGATGCGAGCCTGATTATTAAAGACAGTGGAAACAGGAGTACATTGCATCTCCAAGATCTCGAAAGAAGCTTTCAAGAGTGCATAATCAAAACAAGCAGAAAGGCTTTGATGAAAAGCAGATGCCAGGCATAAGTGAGATCATGTATGATTGGTCTAGCTGTACCAATTGACTCAAAGACAGTCGCAGAATCCAAAATTGGAAACAGATTCAATATTCATCAATATTGAGCAACCTTCCTTCCATGTTTAAACCTCAAAGCTGAAAATCAAAGCAAGGCTTAACAAACCTGTCTCTTCCTTTCACCCAAATTCACACTGCCATCAATTCTACAAACTTCAAATCCTTTCTCACTAAAATAGTAATCCATTATGTCCAAAACTTTAGTCCACTGAGAGAAAATCAGAACCTGTTTACAAAGCCAGCGGGAGATGAGCATGTAGTTAAAATAAACTAGAAACAGTAAAAACTTGCACATCATACTTTGTGCTTGAGTGCAAACAATCGATTCAACAATTTGTCCAGCAATCGGAATTTGCCGCACTGCTCAACTATCTGTTCCACAGGTGGATAGAAATCTGTCCCGGATATCAAAGGCATTAGTGAATCTGGCAAGCCACAAATTTACATTACAGTAGTTAAATGTGCTGTAAGGCAAATACATGTTCCATCAAAGGCAGATGTTAAGAGGTCCGGGTGGTAGCAATTTTTTCGAAGTTGAACCATCAAATTAGTAAGCCTTCCTTTCATACCACGTCCTGCAATATCAAAAGCCAGAAGTCAATACAGGAAAATGTGTTGTATGGCTATGTATTCTATTAGACCAGTGCTTGCTTACAATGCAAGACATTATGTATGGCTAAAGAAAAAATTACTTCCTTTTGCTATCAGGTAGAATAATCTAAAAAAGTACATAAAATTAAGCAAACAAATAGTATGACCACGTGATATTTTGATTGAGCTTCTGTTCAAGAAGAAAAATTAATAATAACATGAACATTAATGGGCCAGTGCTTCACAAATCATAGGAAGAACCATAGCCAGGATTAAGTCAAAGACCAACAACCAAAAGAGGGAGAAATGGACAATACTGTGATCCAAAAGTAGATAATGTTCATTTTTAACTTCAATCAACTATTCAGGTTCTAGATTCACCATTTTCCTGCGACATCAAATAGGCATAAAGATCCATACAGCTAATTGATAAACAGCAAGTATCCTGAAATTCTCACTTGAAGCTGTCATACTTTGATAGCCAGCGGCACCAGTGCCCAACATCAGCCAGAAAAAATACCAGAATGTCCAGAGAAAAAATCACAGGAAATACAGCCTCTTTTCTTCATTTCAAGCCTAATTTCATATCAATAAAAAATCAATTGAAAATAATATAATACCTGTATCCATCTTCTCTCGCAAATGGCCCTCCAGGGTCTTATTAATTAAATGATCCTGGAATTTCTTCTGATGCTCGGTCAGAGTCGCATATAAAATAATCTCCTTTTTCCGGGGGAGCATCTGCTCCACATCAGTCTTCAATCTCCGAAGGAGAAATGGGCGCAATATTGCATGGAGTTTGACTACAACCTGAGGATGATTGAAAACCCAGTGTTGATACCATGCCATTTAGACTGTTTCGTAAAAAAGTACAATTACATCAGTAGGAAGGATGCATACCTGAGCCCTTCGCCTTTCTTCTACTTCTTCCTTCATTGCTTCATTATTGCACTTTCCTGACAGATCAAACCTGAGAAAGAAAAAACACATTGTTAGTTATAAGAGCTCAGGCAAAAGCAGTAAGCATCATCACAATAGGCTATGCTCTTTCTTCCTTCTCTTGAACAAATCACGATTTAAGCTAATTGGGGCCATGCAGATTGCACAAAAAAAAGGCTTAACCAAGTTTTATTGGATTCTCTTGGTTCAATCCAGCATCATATGCAACATCTACTGGTGTTTTTTTCTTTTTTTTTAAAAAAAAAAAGGCTTGAACACATGCCTTGAAGGTGATATAACGAACCACGAGAATTGAGAAGGAAAAAAATGAATAACATGCACATGAATTTAGAAGATTTGGCTCAAAACCTACATCAGTAGACAAATGAACAGAGATTTCATTTGTGAACATAGGGGCACAACAGAAAGGACCAACAAATGGGAAGCCTTTATGTTTGTAAAGAAGAAAATGTTCAAGTGGTGTTTTCTTACCAATGAAACTAAACTTTAATCAACTATAATAAGCCAACCCATCCTAACAAACTGGTGGCACCTTCACTGACCATACTTAACACAAACAAATGTTTATAATTTTCTTGTCATGAATGCAGAAAGAAACAAAATAGTTCACCCTAGACTGCCAGGTAACATATGAAACCAGAGAACAGATCAAATTTTTTTTTCCTGGCTAAATATATGTTGAAATGCACAAGGCAGTAATGTCAAGCATTGCAGCAAAATTACATGATTAAATTTACAATGCCATAATCACTGGAAAATACAAGGGCAACTTTGAAAAACAAATGAAGTTGAAAGGTTACCAGGACTGCACAGTAAAAAAAACCACTAGACAAAGCATACTGACCAGGACTCAAATTCTTCATGGGATTGGAAAATATCAGGCAAAATGAAATTCAGCAATGACCAAAGCTCAGCCAAATTGTTTTGCAGGGGTGTCCCAGTTAATATGAGCTTATTGTCCACACATAAGTGTTTCAACTCCTTCAGCAATTTGCATTTTGAATTTTTCAGCCGGTGCCCCTTCAGTAAGAAAGTTACAGTTTAGAATAGTTAGGTAAATCACTAGTCCTGCAAATTTAATATCAGCATGTGAAAGAAGAAGGGTCCAGATTATTAAAAGTGCAAAAAGCACAAACAAATGCAAAGGTATCTCGAATCCTATGCTCAAACACAAGCATGGACAAGAAAGCTTGTGTTTTCAAATTGCAGTTTAAATTATTAACAGAGTAATAAAAAAAATCTAAAAACTAACAAAATATTAGTGCTTAGTCAGTTAGCTCAAAATATTAGAGCTTTGTGCAATTGCAAGATCCAAGAGACCACGGTTGCAAGCCTGCATGGCAAGTCTAAACTTCATAAATCCAAAAACAAACAAATGAGACCTGTTATTTTCACGTTCCAAACAAAAATGTATAAAGTGATGGCAAATCTAAAAGTGTACCAGAAAAAAAAAACCAACAAAGAAAAGCAACTTTTAGAATTCCAGGCACTTGAGATCCTGAGTGTTTTCTTGTATATAATAAGAAAGTCTTATGTACAGTGCAGTTGATCTCGATATATACAAACAACACTGAAATAGTTGAACCACTTGTAGCATAGCAGAAAACAATGAAGTGCATATGACCACCCCTAGCTGAATATTATTTGTTTGGAAGGGAAAGAGTACTTCTCCCTTGTGGCTGCCTAACCTACAAACTACCTTGTTGAAACTCTCACCTCATCAACCACAAGATACTTCCATGGGTAATGCCTCAAATGCTTTTTCGCGTCAGATAATGCAATCTCATAGGAAGTAACAATAATTGGAAATTTGGGGCCAATTGATCTGGGCATGTGCTTCCTCCTTATCTCATCCCTCTGTTTCTTGTCACCATGGTATATAATTGCATCCATAGAAGGAACAAACCTATTAAAGGGAGTTTACAGAGAATCAGATAGAAGTGTGGATTAAAAGATCAAGGTGAGCAGCTTACATGAAAAATCAAGTTAAAATTTTACCTTGAAATCTCATTCACCCAATTTGAGAGAGTGGAAAGAGGGGCAATAACCAAATAAGGGCCATGTAAGCCATTCCCTATTAAGTGTGCTAGGAAACCAATTGTTTGGATAGTCTTTCCAAGTCCCATTTGATCGGCAAGGATCCCATTAAGCCCATTTTGCCAAAGAGAGATCAACCATTTCACACCTTTAATCTGATAGGACTTCAACCTGCCACCAGTCAACAAAGGTACAAGTTCTCTCTGCTCTTTCTCAACTCTTTCTTCTTCAGTCAAATTTGCATCCTCAGTGTTTTCAACTTCCTTAGACCTTGTAAGCATTGCAGTAACTGCTCTCTTGGCTTTCCTCTGAAGAAAAGTTACAGCAGGTTGTAAGTTTTTAAGGCAGTCTTAAGATGGCATTGTTTCATAGAGAAACACATACGCTATCATTAGATACAAGAAGATTTAAGAGGCCAGACACCAAAATTCCACCAGGTTTATCTATACATTCACCTTTTTTAATCAGTTCTCTTACATTTTTGTATTTTCATCATTTACAGTTATCTCTGGCAGGTGGGCTAAATGTTCCTTTACAATATTTTTTCCTATTAACAGCTCTATTGCATTAAGAACTAACCATGGAATATATACGATGAAAAAATTATTGAAAATTA